GTTCACATTCACTTCTCTGCCCTCTCGCCCCCTTTTTCCTTCCTCTCACTCCTCCCCTTCCCGTCTTTATCGCTCCGTGAAAAAGCGGGGGATATAAATACCTTTCAGCCTGGAGAAGGTTAATTAGTAGAGGGATTTCCAATTAGCTCTTTATCTCTGTAGGGGGGAGGGTTGAACTAGGACGCAGCCGGGGGGGGCTTCTTCGGATAGGTGTGTGTTGGTGGGGGGGCATTGGATATGAGATGGTAATTGTTCAACGTGATGGCTGAGCAGAGTGAAGTGGTGGTTGGTGAGAATGAAAGAAAAGAAGAAGTAGAATGGAGACCGCATGGATCATATAGAGAAGGTCCAGTGAAGAAGTACACACTATGGGAGAATAGTAGAGCTCGGTTGAGATGCGCTTTTGTCACCCGGATACTAAGTATTCTACAAACACAGGATACCTGTTGCATCACACAAATAAGCACACACCATTTGCATCGACTCAAGAGATCAAAGCATTTCCTTTGAGTACAGTGATATTGGCGGGAGCTACAGGTTTCCGCTGTAGAGCTACAACACAATATACCGGAAAAAGAAACAAAATGGAACTCAATAAGATTTTGGTCACATCCCTATTTCGGGGGGTTTGAATCTACCAGAGTGACAATTATGCTGACACTTTAAATTCACACTTCCCTTGTAACCGGGGCAACAGGGCATGCATCTCCTTGCAAAGTCCAAACACATGTTAACACATCTGAATCGGAAAATGTGTTAGTCGGTCTTCATGTGAGAGCTTGATAAGACTCCCAATGCCTTCTGGGATAGCTTCCCACTACCACCACACCTAACAAACAACCGCAGGATGTTTTAAGAGAGCAATGAAATCCATCGCTGCATTCTTGGCTAATGTGCTTTTTATTAAGCTGTTTATTAATGTTTGTGAATTCAATTAAGATGTGGTTTACTATAACATGGCATCCTTCATAACCTCTGATCATGTTGTTCACAATAACATTCATCATTTTGAACAGGACAAACAACCTCCTCTCGTGTAACAACGAGAGACTCGCACAGATTCCTCGGAACAATCACTTTTTTCAAACTAATTTTTACAGTACACACAGGACTGCGCTACTCCTCTTATTCCATCCAGTTAATCGATTTACTGGAGAGAAGCCCTCAACAGACTGAACCTCCGCTCCCCGAATTAACAACTTGCCTGGATTTAATCAAAAGTGTCCCTGAGAGATCGAAGGTCAACTCAATAATCCTCAGACACCGTCAACAGGTTTGACATTTCCACACTTTCTTTTTCATCCATCATCCAATTAAGTCTGAAGTCTAACAGGTTGGACACGTGAAGGAGAAGTTATGTCAGTGCAACAGCCAAAGGAATAAAATAGAAACTTTAAGAACTTTTAAGTTCTTAATGATTCTTTGTATGAAATTATATATATGTAAAATATATAGTGAGCTTAATCTCTATGCCAATATAAGACACCACTGCAGTGGTGCTGTTATAATAAAGAATGGTTAAATATCCAGTGCAGACTCTGGAAAAGTGCCACAATATCACAACACCGTGATCCTTGTAGACCAGGGGGGTGTTCCCGAAAGCGGGTTATGTGAAAACTCAGAGTAAGTTAACCCTGAGATCAGGGAAACTGAGTTATCCGTTCCAGATAGAGAGGTAACTGAAACTCTGAGTCAATCACCATGGTAACAGACTCTGTGAACATAACCTGCTCTAGAGGGTGGATACCCGACCGGATAAATATTTAGAAAATATAGTCAGACTCGGGTCGGGGCTCGGACACATCAGCGCGATAAGACATTGAACATTCCATATTTAAAATATCTTAATAAGTAGTGAAGTCAACATCTGTCAACAACAGTTGAGGCATTGACTCCGTCGGGCTCGGGTCGGGTTCGGACAAAATAGTTTAAAGGATGTCGGACTCGGGTCGGACTCAGGCCCAACTCTGTCGTACGCGGGCCGGGCTCGGAAAGAAAAAGTCTGGCCGATCCATGCTCTAACCTGCTCGCTGGCAGGTTTACTATAAGAAACCCGGAGTTTCTTCCGTCTTCTCCCACATGAAGAAAGCTGGTAGACATGGATTGCCCGTTCCTACCGAATCCAACTGACATCGAAGACGTCGTGATTCGAAATGCTTTACGCCGCGAGAGTCTTCTGACCCAGATTAGACGTTTTATTATTTCCAGAGGAATTTCTGTTAGAACGCTACCGCTTTACTGGTAGCTAGGAAACATATGGACGACATTTAATTCCTACAGTTCCACATACAGATTTAACATGGTATTGACCGAAAATCTCACGGTTTCAAGCTGTGCTGTGGACATTGATGGACCCTCCTCCTGGTGATGCCCAACCATGTTCTGTTCAAGGACAAGAATGTGGTAGTTAGCCATTATCTATGCTCATCACTTCAGTCTACATGTCAATATCCAAATTCTACTCATTTAGCTGATGCGTTTATCCAAAGTGACTTACATTACACTTTAAACCCATGGCTTTTACATTTGGCCCAGGTACACTTTGACTTGAGACATGGGCAGCCAGGACTCGAACCTCCAACCTTGCGCTCCCCAGAGCACCCGCTCTACCCCCTGCGCCACGACGAAGGCATCCCCCAGGGATACCTTCAGCCACCACTGTTTAGGCTGAGGGCCCGCTCCTCCACCTCTGTCAGAGGTTTTGAAGGTGGCCCTCCACCTGTTTTTCGAGCCTCTGCCTTCTTTTTGTTGGCTGAGCAGAAAGCCAAACTGAGGAGTCCTATTCAAATATGCTTAACAATGTGAAAGGCTGATGGATAGATAGATAGATAGATAGATAGATAGATAGATAGATAGATAGATAGATAGATAGATAGATAGATAGATTTGGGTGGAGTAAGATGAAGTGTGTCCTCATTCGATACAAGTACCACAAACAGTGTCAAACAAGATCTTCTGGTTATCTCCTTAAGAGCAAATTAAGTGAGCAGCAAACTAGAGTTCTTATTAGTCAATGTTCCATCTCTCAGCCAGTCCCGCCTCCCACTGCAATCTAGCTTCCTCTAGATGGAAACAGTGTAATTACGTTTGTCAGTCATCATGTAAGAGTAGCCCTCCATGCAAATGAGGGCCACTGGAACGCAAGTCTCCCCTCTCTATATTGGGTGCCCTGCGCTCGGTGGCAGATTTGATCTGCACCTTAAATTGTGAGAGGAGATGAAGAGCCACCAGTCGGCTAATCTCATCTGGGCTTAGGTTGCGTGGACACACAAACTACAATAACACACTTAGCAACGGCTCCCCAAAGCTCTATCCAATGGAAAATCACTCTATTATCCATCCATTATCCAAACCGCTTATCATATTCAGGGTGTGGAGCTGATCGCAGCTGACATGGGACAAACCAGGTTGCATCATGATGTGTTCAAATGCAGTCTTGAGAAACCTGAATGAAGTGGTTTGAAGGAGATGCTTTAACAGATTTCTTTTTTTTTTAAATAGAAAAATATATATTATATATTAATGCTGGGCAACAGATACAATTTTTAATTGTGGTTGCTATGCACAGAATTAAGTAATGAATCAAAAGAAGTGTGTTTTGCTTTTATTTTAAAAGCACTGCCATATGAACAAAACTGCAACAACCTCACAAATAAGGTGCAAAACAGTCCATCCATTGATCAATAATCTATCTACCTATCAGTAATCTATGTTCAGTAGCATGTGTTTCTGTTGGGTTGAAGTGATCCAGCACTAAGGACACAGCTGGGATTTACTGCGCAGGGACTTTTTAGTCTGTACTGGAGAAAGAAAGAGAAAACACTCTTTAACTGATGCAGTTATGAAGAACTTTGGTTCAATCTGCTGTGCCTTCTTAACGATGTGATATGATCAACACACATATCCACAGCGTTGAGCTGTGTTGAGTTCATTCCTTGAGTTGATGCACCTTTCAGTTGGACATTTAGACCTTGTGCTCAGACGTGTCGTTCTGATTCTGATTCCGGAGGGTCATTTATGAACAAATTAACGTGGGAACTATAGGGGATTGTATATTATTCAATTATCATTTCGTCCAACAGCAGCAAGGTGTCGAAGAAAGGCAGAAAACGCAAGTCCATACAAGTTAAATAGACACCTCCACCTCTGGGCTCCAGCTGGTGTAATAGCCACCTTACATCCTTAAAACATAGCGAGCCTCACCCACCTCTTTCCTCTACTGTAACATCTGAGCCAGGTTGCCATGTAGGCGCTCACCTTAAATAGCTCAAGAAAAAGTTACATCAGATCCTTTGTTAGTGTATATCGTGAAAATCCCTCAAAAATCACGCGGATCAAAGCACCGGCTCCTGGTTAGTGTCTGAAATCAACAATCTGATCCTATTCCAAACCGTTTAGCCTCATTATCCGCCGACAGGGCAGCACAGGAACACGCCAGGAGGTTTTATACCGTTTTGAGCATTGTCTTTTTATGCTCTCTATGGTTTACGGAATACTGCACAAATCAATGTTTTCAAATTAATAATAGGACAAAACAGAAATGAGAAATGCGAAAGGTGTCCATGGGGCCCCTGACTCTGCAGTTTATATTGCTTGATTTTATTACATATTTTACTTGTATTCTTTATCCAAATATTGTTGAGCCTGCCTTAACCTCTCATTGCAGTGCGCTGGAAAACATGCCTGTGAAAGGCTGTGGACTTTTATTTACTATTCAATCAACAACTGCTTTCATACCGATTATTATTTGTCAGTATAGTTTCACGCGAGGCTTTTCATTAGGGTCGCTCATCTAGATTATTACACTGACTGACAGCCGACCCTCAACAGTAGACAGAGCGATGAAATGAGTGCTTACACACTGAGGTGCTGTGGTTCAAAGCGCCAAGACGGATGAAGGTTAAAGCCTTTGAGTTATCACGTTAGAATATTGAACATCATCTTCGGTCTTCTTTAGCGGGAGGACATGGACGTCGGCGTGGCCACACAGGCACACTCACCTCTTTGTCCCGCTCCAACTCCAGGCCGGCCTCCAGCAGGCTGGCCTCGAATTCCTGCCGGATGAGACGCACCTCGTGGTCGGCGGGCTCCGTTGGCTCTTTCTCTCCGGCATCGCCGAGCTCCATGAACACCTCTCCGGCCCGCGCCGGCTCCCGTAACAATCCGCCACCTCCTTTCCCGGCCGCGCCATCCGAGCCCGCCGAAGGGGGGAAGTTGCCGTTGGACACGATGGACAGCCTGTCGTGCGAAACCGCGGCGCTGGCGTGCGATCGTATGGAGCCGTTCCGGCGCTGGTGTAAGACCAGGACGTAGTCAACTTTCCGCTTGCCGTCAGAGAAGTAAAGGCCCTCCCCGGTGCCCTGAGGGCCTGAAGGTGAGCCCACGACCTGAGGGCAAATCAGAGAGCGAGAGATACATAGAGTAAAGTGGGCTGTGGGAGCACCCACTGCTGTTGGGTGGAGGAAATCTTTCTTTTTGCATTAATTATATCAAGGCCTCACAAATCGATCTAGCTAACACACATTGCTTTAAAGACGGAAACTTTACGCAGCACTGGTGTTATGTAAGAACCATTTGAATTAACTTAAACATCTACTGCAGTGTCAGCACACGCAAGCAGAAGTGGCTTTTGGCAGGTTCTCAAAAACATTGAAGTGAGAACCTTCAACAGCAGAGTGGGCAGTCAGCTCACCTCTGGCAGTTTTATTCTTTATTTAGACAGAGGGAAGGCAGAGGGGGAGACTAAACACGGAGGACGCGGTAGGGATGGCTCTATACGCTCTGGACACGATGAGAGGGGTTTTTCACTTTCTAAGAGCAGCTTTCTTACTTTTATCGGCAGGGCAGCTCGTTCTGCCAACGTGCCGAGTCGCGTGAACAACAAGTTATGTATTTTATTTTCTTGAGACAGATAAATAACGCAACATCACTTACATGAAGTGGATGAATAGATGAGCACATGCGCAAGCTCAAGTTTCACAAGGAGTAGACGAGGCCAGCTTGGCTTTGCCATCGGTTGCCTCTTGCTGAACAGAATAAATGCAGATCTATGCTTCCAGAATATGGTTTTACATGCGCTAGAAAAATATCTCGCTTTAACCCTCAGTGACAAGTTACTCACACTGCACCGAAATGACACCTTTTTAAAATTGATGGGGGGGGGCAGGTAAAAGCTATCAAATTCATAAGATGGCTACTGACTTGTATATTTTGTACTGTGGAAAAACATTTTAAATCTCTTTTTTACCACACAACCTATTACACGCATGCAACCGCTACGAAAACTAACAAATGTACCACAATATAATGTTTACCATTGTAATTGGTTGTGTGGAGAGCATAATGTAAATGTGACGGGATAAACCACCGAGGCTTTTTTAATGGGCAATAATCACCGAGTGATGCGTTTGATGACCTCACATAATTCCCATCGTGGCTCCGCCCAAGAGAGGTCTAATCAACAAGTATGTTGCGTTTACGTGTTTTTAAAAAATGTTACATGATTATGTTCCTCGTGCAAATACAAAATTCAACATGTATCATGTTGAACCACCAACCATATGAACCATATTCAGTGTGACGCGTTAACTTCCATACGGCGGTCAAAGTTTGCCCAAAGGTTTTCTTCATGAAGAAGAAACCTGAATTTTCAGTTTGTTTTAATGCTACGCGGCCTCACGTAGAATCTCGCGTGCGCGTGATTAACAACACGTTACACGGAGGTTGTAAAATATTTTACAGAACCTCACCGGTTTGCTGGTTACTTAAAATATTTCTTCTTATTTCAAATAGTCTCCTCCACAACAGCTTAATGAGTTAAGCTACTAATATAACGCAGTGAGCCCACCGCAAACAGCCCCGCGGAGTTTGCAACCGTGCCGCTAAATGTCAAAGGAGAAGAGCGGCGGCGGATGGATACGGTCCTACTTACAGGGAGCTTGTCTTCACTCGGGGATATCTGCATGCTCTTGCGCTTTAGAGACACCCGGGGAAGAGGAAGAAGTAGAAGAAGAAGAGTAAGAGTGAAAGTTGCCGCTTCTCACGGAAAAAAACAGCTCCGCTCATCACCATCACCACCACCTTCATCCCCATCATCCCCCGGATGACACCTGACTGATCTGGTGAGGCGCGCCTGCTCCACGGTGGGATCTGGAGGCTGGCTGCGCACCGCCGGCGCTTTTGCCACGGAGCATCCCACGCTGTAAGAAGTGTCTGCCTTTAAACGCGTCACTTGGGCTCAATGCTCCAGCCTCAGAAATGGCGATTGGAACATTTAAATAAATAACAGATTTCTGAAATGCTGGTGTCAATTTAAATTGTGATTTCACGTGGTTTCACCAGTATTTAGAGTGTCTGGTTCTGGAATAGGTCACCTCTCAAATTCATTTTAACGGTAAACAAATGAAAAATGTGAAAGTTCATTTGGAATCTTCTTTTATACATTTTATCATTTAAATAAATGAAATATCATTATTTAGAAAAATGGCTTTTACGGTCAGTTTTACAGTCATCTTTTACAGTGTGGAGAGCTGATGTAACTTGGAGAGGGATTTAATACAGCGACATCGCAGGCGCCCTGTCCTGTGAATTACATTTCTAGGGAAAGGTGGATTACGTTTGACATATCATTATGAAAATCTTTTTTTTGACACAAATCCAAAAACCCAACACCCACGAGACAGCTGCTGGTGTACCAAATGAACCATTTACTTCAGTATTACTTTAATTATCAAAACAAGTAATTTTTTTGATTAGTTTTGTGCTAATTCCATTGTTCTTTTTAGGCCAAAACATAATTATTTTTTAGTAAAGACTAAATGTACTATTTAGTTCGGTGTTGAAATGGTTTAAAACTGCACGTGCAAGTAAATATCTTTCCCTGTAACCCTACTGGTTAATTTATTGGTAGACTATCATCAAAAGGTACCAATAACCTGTCAACCTTTACTCAGCTGGTTTCTCCTTAAACCAATTTCCAAAATAGATTCACACTTTTTGCCCAAAGGCCCATTGAAGTTGCTTTAATTCGCCCAAATATTTGAGTTGCAACTATTATTTTGAAGACTACAAGAAAAAGTGTCTTGAAAAACACAGAAAGACTCCTTTTAATGAGATTTTTCTTCCATGTTATGCTAAGTCATAAAATGATGTAATGCAATGCAATACATTACCCATGCTGGAAATATTACATCATTTACTTTTTTTCTACTAGTTCTTCCCAGTATGTATGAGCAGGCTCAAAACAGCACTTTAGTATGTTTTGTTTTGTTTGGCCTAATCGCACACTTTCTTTGGTAGTAACCTTCAACAAACGTTGTTGTTCCACAGTACTGGGCTCCTCGTTGTATGGGACAGGCTCCAGGATGCTGTAGCTTATGGGTTCCAGTTCCATCCTGGACACGTCCTTGGTCAGGTGGTACAGGCCGTCGCTGTGGATGGAGGAAGACTCGCTCAGCGCTGTGGCCACTCGCATGTAGCTCGCGCCGTTGGTCCATGATTCTGGAAGACATTTATTTTGGAAATACAATTATTGCAAATTGAGGAAGTCATCACCAGGAAACTTTGTTTGGAAGTGCAAACGATTCAATTATCTGGAAATGATGTCTTGACAGGCAACGTCTTTGACATGGTGGTGAGGAGATGTACATCTATAGACCGTTCCACGCTGTAAAAAAGGATTCCTCACTCAGGGACCACATACAGAAGTTAAACAGGGGGAAAATCTAGAGCGTCTTGGATGATTCAGATCTATTGATTCAGGTGTGTTTTCACATCTTGTCCTGAAGCTTTCGTCCGTCTATCCTGGCAAAGGGAACCATCCGCATTGCAACTTTCAAATCTTTCTTCACATTTGTGCACTGCCTATAGAGTGAACATGAAATAGAGAAGGTCCCTCCAACATGAAATGATTGAGGAAACAGCACAGCTATTAATGTAATGTCACACATTTGGTTGCTTAGGAAGGAAAGAAAGGCCTTCTGTGAGAAGCTGAATCTTAAGTTCTGAAGTGAACCCTTGCCACCAGAGGTGAAAAGAAATGTCTCTTCTACTCGCACACTCTTCTGCAACAATAGTTTGACATTTTGTGAAAATAGGTCGTTGTGTTTTCTTGCCGAGGGTAGGATCAGAAGGTTGGTACTGCTCTCAAATCTTTTTTACTCTAACACAAAGATTTTGCTAAAGAGGAAACAGTTAGCTGAAAATATGCCCACCACCTCCTCTCAGGTACAACTCATATCCTATATATAATTTAAAAATAAAACAGAGGTAATATAGTTTTGGAAAAGGCCAGGCAAACTATTCCTTGTCTGGTTGCAGTGAAATCAATGAAGTTTTGTCATCACTGTGAGGTTGCTAGGCAACCAACGGATGCTTTGGATAGTTGCTGCCGCACAGCTAAGAACTAATCCACTACATGAAACCTGTAATTATTGTACTTTGTATTTCACCATTTAGTATTATACTTTTTTGTGTGTTGTATGAAAAACACTCTGTTTTTAATTTTATTTCAGAAAGAGCAAGGCTAGTTGCCCCCCCCCCCCTCCCCCTCGCCCCCATCCCCCCTTCCAGTCATTGTGCTAAACTAAGATAACTAGCTGCAAGCTGTCCTCCTCCCCCCAAAAAATGTATTCCCCAAGATTTGGGAGTTTTACTAGAAAACATAGAGCCTCTTGTTTGTGACACAATCTCACGACTTGTAGGTTTTGAGCACTAACGTATTCACCGCTCATTGTTCATGGAGCCAGAGATATGCAAAGTGGCCCGCTGAAGCTTTGTTTCACACTGTGAAAATTGACGCGTGCGTCAGTCACTCACAAACGCTGCCTCGAAGCCCTTTACAAAATGACAAACCTACGTGGAGCCAACCTTTCAACAACCAGTCTCAAAGGACGAAGAACACGATATAAAGCAAAGAAAGAAAAGGCACATGATAGAAAAATATTGTAAATGGTGTAATTTGGAACAGCGTATTGGGACGGGATGGCAGATTACTTGTTGCTCAATACAAAGCCAGCGTTTATATGGGACTGTTTTCTTTCTAAACTGTTCCTCAAGTACAGTGCTGACCAAAACAGGCATTTCTACATCTTCATCAATCTGACTGCGGTGTTCTCAGGATCCGCAACAGATTGCCGTTTTTTTGTGTGTAATAAGGCTACTATGTGTGTGTATGGTTATTTTAGGGACAGCTGTAGCCATAGTAACGTACCAGGCCATGTGCTGTGCTCTCATTTCAGCGCCACGATCAGCTCTCTTTTTTATTCTATCTTTCTCTCTTTCATACGCACACAGTTTGTACAACGTGGTGTAAAACATTGTTCGAGTGATGCCCTTTTGAATTATAAGGGGAGATATTCAATAGCCACGGTTTTGTTTCCGGTCCTTATAGCTTGTTGAAAGCAGAACAGTAGCCTGGAGGTTAGCGAGGCAGGCCTGTATTTGGAAGGTCGCCAGTTTGAATCTGCTAGGAGGGGAAATTAATGAGAAAATCCCTCCTATATAAAGCAGGGCATCACAGATTTAAAAAAAAGCTCTGGTAAATGTTTATGGATTTCAAAACAAAGTAGATTATACAAACAAATATATTTTGTCCACTTGCGAGCTGTTATTCATCCACAGTGAAGAGATTACCCAAGTAGGATTTGGGGGAGTATATTTGAAGGATTCTATCATACTGTTGCTATCTTCTCATTGTATCACTGTGGAAACTATCTGAACTGCTGCTTAATCAATTATTACATTTGGCGTGGTGAAATTTGCAGATTGATGTTCATTTTTGCTCGCAGCTCACATTTTGTCACATTTATGCTTTTCTGTTATCAAATCTAACACATTCTCTCTCACAAGGAGAGACACGTCACGCCAAGTTTACCCCCCTTAAAAACGCAGACTGGCCAATCAAATCCTAGCATTGGTCTCTCAAGTGATGGTTAAAAAATGCACCTGTCACTAGCCTTAGCATTATTATGCTAAGCTAGCTACTAAGGTATACTGAATGTCTACACAACCTGTTTTTGTTAGTGAATTAAGACCTTTTCAGCTTTACAGAGAAAGAGTAGTTCCTTAATTATGATGTCTGTCTCCTGTCGATTCTTAGATGATGGGGTGGTCCACTTTTAAACTGTGCCCTTTATTCCGGGTTTTTTTTAAACCCATATTTACTGCTGAATTATTTGGATATTCTGGATATATCCTTCAAATGGATTTTATTTCGTTGTTTATAAATGTTTCCCAAAAATGTCTCGATTCGGGAGAGAAGTCAGTGAAAGTGTGGGCTCCATGGTAGTTCTGACAGCTCGGCAGTGCAAGGGGGGGGGGCAGACAAAGGGTACATTTGGCCTTCACGTTATCTTAACAACTTTCATGATATAATATCCGAACCTTTCGGTATTTCACAGGGCAGCAGTACAGCACAGAGACCCAGTGCTGATGCTTTTATCATGTTGTCTCATCTCTGCCTCACTGGTTGTATGGAAGCTTCTGCCAGGATGCAATTGATACATTTTCCACCCGGTCTTACTGGGTTTCACGTTTTTACCATCTCAATTAAACTAAAATACTTAAGCAAAAGTATGTCTAAATATTTTCGCCATTTTCACAAGTTCTGCGGCACTTGAGCAAATTGCAAATTACTCATTCAATTGTGTCTCGATTATCAACATTCTCCTCACTTTAAAAAAATGTGCTGTACTGTGCAGAATCAGGTATGTGCAGAGTTCTACAAGCGGCAGATTGCACATTGGTTAAGTTCCTCTATTCGCCCTGCAGGCTCCCTGCAGAGTTTTCTGGCCTCTATTTGAGCAATGGAGCTGCTTTTTTCTACAAGTGTATCCCCGTTTGGTTTGTTTCATGCACCAGGATGCTTGTGTGAGTGATGCAATACAAAATATCGTTTGATACTGCTCCAAATGTGTACAGGTGGCGGTATTGTGCCGAAAAACTAAAAAGACAGGGAAGAAGAAGTAAGTGATGTGGGCGCCATGAAGCCGTTATGTCTTAGTTAAACTCCTGAGATAGACTAGCACTTTTATTTTATAATAGAGAATAGAGATGACATTTCAAGATTGT